AATATATCAAGACGCGGATATAATTACAATAAAAGTAAAGAAAACCAACTACTAAAAAACTCAAACGAGACGAAAAAAAAAAGAAAAACTAGGACGAAACCGAATAAAAAGCAAAAACACTCGGCGCAGCTCAGCTGCTCTTTTTAAACACTACTTTGCAACTAAATTGCCGAACGTAATGACCCTAGCTTGTGACAGATGGCGCTAGTCGTGCTCTACTATTCATAACTCATTGCGGTGCAGCAGAAAGAAACGGAGATTTGGGTCGCTTTCGCCATTTGTAACGATTTTGCACCGCACGTCCGGAGCGTGTCTACTGAACAAATTATTTCAATTTAATAATTTACTCCCAATAAGTAATTAATTAATTGGTTAAAATTCGTCGCTGGCTGGGAAGAAAAAGGGACGTAAGTCGAAAAATGCCCAATTTTATTGAGACCACCACAACACTGTAAAGTGGATATTTATTATGTGACAGACAAACAGGCGTACCTCTCCTCCTTATATTTAACATAATAAGATAAATTAAATGCACGAATATGAATATACGTATATGCACTACACACCAAAAATTTAATTGCGTCTACTGTAAAATAGCTACATTGCGTTACACTACTTTGTCTTTCCAGCGACGAATTGAAGTACACAAAAAAAAACAAACAAAAACGAGGCCAAAATCGACAATTTTCCTATGTAAATCTCCATATGAAATTATAATGTTCATTATGTCAATTTTGTTACCAGATTTAGTAACTTTTCAGAATCTAGTAACATTTTTGTAGGTTGGTACCACTGCTTTTCTCAGTTTCTTTTTATGTTAGCAACACTGTTCTTATTCTTAAATATTCGGTTTGTTCGTAATAAAGTTGATAATTTATTTTTATTAATAGTAGATTACTATTACAATCACATTTTATTATGAACAGAACATACATTGTATTCAAAATTATAACTTAATAGGAATTTTTTGCAGAGATCTGTATAAGCAATCTTAATAAATAAGTCCGTATTTTATATTTTGGAATTTGAGATTGTAGAATTTCCTGAACTTTAAGAAAAATACAATTTAAGTTTTCCATTATCTTTATTCTTAAACTTTATATTTATGCTATAGTAGCCATTCCCTTTTTAGCATATTTTTTTTTATAAAAAAGGCTCAAGGATGATAAGAATTTTTTAAACTCCCTGGAGCCGCCCTTGATCTAAAATAGGTTTGACAGATGACTTAAATCAGAATAAGTAATTTAATATTTTTATTTAATTTGAGTGTACATGTTAAGGAACCAAAAAGGATAACGGAATGTTCCAAAACGTTAATTCACTATCTCTGTACCGAACCTGCTAGTATAAGTATCGTGTACCGGTAACCTGTCCGATCATGAAGCCGTTTTATCTGCGATATCTCTTGAGCACAAGACTAATTTTCCACATAATAAAAATGTTAATTGGTACAGTTGTTTTTCTAGTATCTCCTTTTAAATATTTTTATTTAAACTCAAGCAAATTTTTTTAATGCCTCCTTCCCTATTCAAAAAATGTAAATCCAGCAAAAAAAACGTAATCCACGATTGCTGGCTTAAGATGTTCATCAAAAAATATGAGATTCCTTTATTATACAAAAAACATTATTCAAACAGGATTATTCTTAGACTACTATTATCGCTACAGAACTGTACATAGAACACTTACTAGAAAAGCTAAAGACATGTACTATTATTGCACAAGAATTAACGGTTCAAATAATACGACAAGGGAAACTTGGTCCATTATCAATGAATTGAGAGGCAAAGTTACCCATAAATTATGCAATGCATATTGTCGGTACAATGCCAAAACTTACCTATTTCTGCATTAGACTTTATTATTTTAATAAATAAAAGTTTTGCTGAATAAGCGTTTTCTTCTTTTCTCAAAATGAGTGTTGTGGTTCTATTATAAAGGGTATCCCATTAGTGCGTAATTGTTCTTTTTCTATGCCCATGTCAGTAAACGTTAAAAATCACACTATTAACATTCTTTGTAAATGACATTTAACAATAACATGCACGTAATGAGATCTCATAACATACACGTGGGTTTTGACAACTTAAATTTCTTGGTTTAATCAAATTGCAATCAAATTTTTGTCTACGTAAGACTTTATGTGGTCAATTTACATAAATTTAGTCATTTAAAAAACATAAAAACTTTAAGCATTAGCGAGATACATTTTGGATTAAAAGAGTGATGCCCCTAAATGTCGGAAACATATACAATATTTATGCCATTTATATTGTCAATTTTTGTAACAAAATATGATTGTATCCGAACATTTTCTCAACTTTACCTACGAATATGTTTGTTAGCAGTGAAAGTGATAAAATTATGAGTACTGTACCGAAGATTTATGGATTGGCGACACAAGCATAACGTTGAATCCTTTTTTGAGAATGTTTTAAATGGGCGTAGAAAAAGTCTAGTACGTTACACGACTTGTAAGCCCATTACGCACTCGTGTTACGTAATGTACTATTATGAAATTATAAAATGATGTAGACCCCAAATTCATTTATCATAATTTACGTAGGTTTACAATGATTTAAAAATGGTTTTAAATACAGACATAAGCTAGTAAGCTAACGAATAGTGGTGATAGAACTGAAATATATTAGAACGAAAATAAATCAAACTCAAATGTGATCTAGACGTAAAACAAAATAAATAAATCTCAAATTGCCCACCTGGTCTTTTTGGTTCCACCTAGTTTTCTAACTGGGTACTACAACGCCCTTTGATTTTGCTTATTAGGAACAGATGGCAACACCATTTCACTACTTGAATTCTTATTCTCTTTGTAACTAACTTTATTGTATACTGGTAAAATGTGCAGCATTTGTTAATTCCATTAGAGACTTGAATTGTGAACCTATCTATTTCTTGATGAAGAGTCTTAATAAGGACGAAACCGGTCCAAGAATGATGTTCTCCTTAGTGAGCAAAATCTAAGGTAGAGTATTGAAATTTAATTTCTAACTCTGCTGTTTTTCCTTCGGATATAATTCAATACCTGGTGCGGTATTAGCCAAAGGAGTAGTTATTTTCTGAAGGGAAACGGTCGCTTGTAATTATGTGATATATGCTTTGAGATTTATTTATTTTATTTTATTTTTGAAATATATTATTTAGAGTGTTTTGCAACATGTCGTTAAATATAGCTAATTTTAAGTATAATTAACTAAATTTTTTCAAATGCAACACGCTGTATATTATTTTAGCCTAACATTACTTATAAATTTACCTATTTAACGATACCAACATGTTAGCCAATAACACATATACAGGGTGACTCACCAGTGCGTAATTGATCTGTAGCTGTTTTATAATTGGAAATACGAAGAAAATTTTAATATAAAAGTTGTATGACTACATTTAACAGTTATTCTTAAATATACAGGGTGGTTCATAAACGTGGTGCTGTCCAAAGATATACCTTTTTAAAGCAAGTAGCTATACCGGGTGTTCAAATTAAAGTGTTGCAGTTAAATACCGCCGGAAATATGCATTTTAGAAAAAAAAGTTTCAGACAAAAGTTTTATATTTTTTTTGGGGAAACATTTTGGCTAAATTCATTTTTTTATAGCTCACCATAATATGGCCATATCGAGGTGGACTTTGTTTTTCGAAATGGGAATCCCATTTTTTATTTACATATTCTTAAAGTACATAAAAAAATAAGAAACTTTTGATGGAAATATATTTTTTATTGGACTTTTACTTTTTGAGTAACTGCTACTTGAAAATTTTGCTGGGCGAAAAAAAGTTGGCCATATTGTGGTTAGCTATAAAAAACGATTTTAACCAAAAATTTTTCCCTGCAAAACTATAAAACTTTCGTCTGAAACGTTTTTTTTTTTATATAAAAGACGATATTTAGCTGTAACACTTTAATTTGAACACCTGGTACATATTTGATTATTTTTACATCGTCAATAATTTTAATTGATTCATTCATTTGTGTCAAAACGCGAGGATACGATTTTCTCATTGTTTTAAATGGAATACCCGGTATTAAATAATTGGTGGTATAAAATACATGGTATTTCATTTAAAAAATTAAGAAAATCTTAAACTCTCATTTTGACCCACCCTATATACAACATGGCCTAATGAATGAAGTCTATTAAAATTGTTTGACGATGTGAAAACTATTTGCAGGGTGTTTTGCTTTAAAAATGTATAGGTTTGTTCAGCTCCTTCAACAAATACAAATAAGTAACACTAAGCTACTGAATTCAACTTGTATGAGCGGTGATGAGCGACAGGTGGCTTCAATCACGTTTAAATCTGTCTGACCACGCCTACAAACTCAAATTGATTTCTGCACAATATGAATAAGTGTGCTCTTCGCAAAAAAATCGAGCTCTACCTTGCTCTTCAACTGTTCAACAAGTAAGATGCCTTCAATACACGAATATTGTTCCTCGGGTCCGTCTGCCACTACCGAATCATCAACGTGCTTCTCCCATAGAGCATCGCTTTTCGTGGCGAACCTACCGACACAAGTTGCAAGTTGGAGGTCAGTAAATACACATTGTGTCTATCGTTTCATTACAACAATAATATAAGCAAGCAGCGATAAGTTTCCATATGCTAGTATGTATTTTCTTTTAAGTTTAGTGTACTTATGTAAATAAAATGTGTTGTAATTCTTCACTAAGTAAATAAACAGATGTACTTTTCATCAGCGGTTCACTGTCAAGAATAGGATGTTTTTAAGGTAAACCATACAGTCCACCAGTACCGGCTTTGGCTCAGGCGCGGATACAAGGGATGGGGTAATAGGGTATTTAGCCCCCCCCGAGCTGCTCGAAGAGATCCAGGAATTTATTAAATTATAATCTAAAAATATTGTATTGGTATCAGAACTGATGGTTGTAGTGTTATGGTTTTTTAGAAAAGACAGGAACAGTAATGGAACTTCAGTCAGTATTTTCTAATGCTACGCGTTATTCCTATTATAATCATGCTTTAAATTTATCTTTTTCGACATCTTTAAATATACAAGATATACGCAACACAGTTTCATTTATGAAAGAAGTTATTGAGTTTTTTAATGCTTCTTCTAAAAGAAGTAAAGTATTAAAGAATATCCATAAAGGAAACCTGAGTAGTCTTTGCGAAACACGTTGGGTAGAAAGACACGGAAGTATTCAAAAATTTAAATATAATTTAAAAGATATATTGCAGGCGCTTGAACTAATTTCACAATGGAATACTAGAACTAAAGCTTCTATATATATATATATATATATATATATATATATATATATATATTTACATCTTTCTATCAATCCCAAGCCAATTGGAGATTCTATCAAACCTGAACCACCCAAAAATAATAAAGTTGGATAAGTATATTTAATGTATATTGGAATAAGAGGGTCTCCTTATCTGTAATGTGAAATGTATACTCTGAATATTTCATTAAAAAAATGTAATTTTTCTAAAGATTTTACTGGATCTGTGCAATCCTGAACCATTAGAAGATTGATACAATCTTGAACCATTTTATACAGTTTTGTTCACACTAATCGCACAATTCTGAACCTTCGCTCAGTTGCCAAATGTAAATTAAGTATGAAATCTACGATTTAGTAATACGAGAATAATTATAAAATACAACTGTTTATTTAACTCTATACTCTGAATTCAAATTTAAAATCATTTCAGTCGGACTATGCAAATACATTAAAATCACTCTTGTGGCTAGGGCAGTTCGAGTCGAGATATTGAGAGAATACTAGATATATGAATGTATTTTCTCATAAATAGGAAATTCGATAAAAAAACGTTTTAAATAAAACACTTAAAATCTACGATTTTTACTTATCTTTGCAATTAAAAAAAATTAACAGATAAGATAAAAATTAAGTTTTGACATTTTTCAATAAACCAGATTTATAACGCTTTTGTATAAAAATTTTACCCCCACCATCCCATAGAGGGAGAATGGGGGTGGAACTCCCAAAATATTAGGTTAAATTTTTTTAAATAAAACAGTTTTAATCTAGATTTTCTACATATACATCCAAAATTCCAAAATTTAGTCAAAATGGTAGGGGTACATTTTTATAAAAAATAGTTGAAAATTATGTCTATTACAAATGTACCAAAAATAATAGTTTTATCTCCTCTATGACGATTTGTAAAAGCGAATCCCCACATTCAAACTATATCAGTTCAGGTCAAAAAAGTCCAAAGACAAGAAATATTTATTTATTATACAAGGGGAAAAAATATTAGCTAAAATCTAATATTTTTCCCGTGTATAATACACCATTTCTTTTCTGTGATGGGAAAACAACGATTTAATGTAGAAAAAAATATCTACCTTTACTTTCCGGGGAAACGCTTTTCTCCCAGGAAACATGGAAAAAAGTAATTTCATAAAAAGTGACATTTTGTTACCTGACAAGAGAGATATAATGTCAAACTTTTTTCTCGTCACAGAAAAACAAGTTTTTTCCAAAAAAAAAATATAAATTTTGGTGGGTCTATGTATATGGAAAAAGTCGTAGATTCCAACTCTTTTATTTAAAAAGACAACTTAATTTACTGTGGATGCTACCCCCTCAATCTCCCTCTAGGGGACGGTGGGGGTAATATTTTTATACAAGAACGTTGTAAATCAGGTGTATTGTAAATATGTCAAAAATAAGGTTTTTATCTCCTCTGTAACATATCTTGACTTGAATAGCCCTCAACAATAATTATTTCTTGTCCACGTAGATAATATACTTACTTAAATTTTTTAACTTAATAAAAATTATAAAAAAATACATATATTAAAGTTTTAATAATCGTGTTATATATACCTACGTAGCAACAAATTCGTATTTCTCATTAGTCAGAAGAAAAATGTACAGTATTTTATTTTGAAAATAATTTAACGTTTTATTAAAATTGTCTCATTTTCTGTTAGGAATAAGCGCCATTGCTAGTTTAGTAAAAACTTTCTTTATAAAATTCCTTAAATATTTTTAATTGTATGTAGGTATTAATAAGATTATTTAACGCTATAATGCATTAACCAATGACAATCATCTTTAATTCCAACAGACGCCAATCAGCACAAACTGTATCTGCATGCTGGAGTGTTTTTACTCAATCCTGATTGTAATTAAAAAATTCAATTCATTACCAGAGTCCGCATTAATGATTTGTGCGAAAAGTCAATGTGACGTTTGTCAAAAAGGTTGGATTTAAAAATTTTTATTCATTTCCAGAGTAATGTATCAGTGATTTATATGAAAAGCCAATATGAAGTTTGTCAAAAAGATGACGAAAAATATACAAAATTCGTTTTGATTCTTTAAATATATTTTAAATACAGAATCGACTTCAGCTTATGAAACCAAAGCAAATGTTTATGAAAGTTCTGTTTATATTGTTAAATAATCTTTTCAAACACCACGCGAGGTAAGAATTTTTTTTTAAAAACATTTTGTTGTTTCCTTACAAATTATGCAAATTTCACTCTACAAAATCCTCCCGTAATTTTAAGGAGTATTTTGATTCGTAAAATTTAGACGCATAATTTCCAGAAACAAAAAACTGTTCTCAAAAAAATGTTCACCTCTTGAGGTGAATGGAGTCATGGAAATTGTTTAGTCGTTGATTGTGATTTACCCAAAATTTAAAAGATAATAAACAATAAATTCAATAGCTACTAATATTGTTTTATTAGTTAAAAAATAAAAAAAATAAAAACAACGGAAAAACAGGTAGCTCAGTAAAACACTACTTACTTACTATTATACTAGTAAAAATATACTTATAATAATATATGTATAAAAAAAATATTTAAACTTCTAGCATCTGTCTTTATTAAATTTCTTTTTTCTTTAGGAAGCTGGCTTCTGTAATTTACCAGTGTACATGTTCTGCACTACAGCTTTTATGAAAGTCCATTTTTAATCTTAAAATATCGACTAAATATGCAAAAAGTGAACACTCGGTATAAAATAATCTCAAGATGTTTGTTTGCGGTTCATTCTGATATTCAAAATTTTCTTTGGAATCATACCACATATGGCTGACAATTTAAAAACTTACAATGGTTATATCTCATGAACTAAAGATGATATATTTAGAAAAGTATAACCTAATGAAAACATTTTATTTTGTACTCTTGTCTAGAGTATACAGGGTGGATCACCAAGAACTGCATCAGTCGATATCTCAGAAACTGGATGTAGGAAAAAATTGATATCTGGAAACTTGTTAGATGTCTTGGGGCCTATTAAGTAATTCCGGTTGACCGGAAATAGACCTTAAGTCACTTATTTTAAATAGGGCATTCTATTATTATTACAATTTTGAATTCTACTTCAGATTCCAGACAGGTTTTATGTATCATATCATATGCCTAAGTCAAAGCGATTTTAAAATTTCAGTTTTTATATCAAAAATAACGTTGGCAAGTTCTAATATAATTATCAATAAGCCCTGTAAGGAAGCCCTGCTTATTACTTACTTCGGGTTGGATTCCTTGGGTTTAAGGTTTAAAATGAGATTAAGAAAACTACCAAAAATCGATTTTTCAAATGGAACCACTCATTTTTCTTATTTTGTAGTATTTAGCATCTAAAATAAAGGTAACCTTGTATAAAGTTATCTACAGGGTTGTCCGTTAATAATGGGATACATAGCAACTCTATAAAAGTATTGCGATATAACACAATTTACCTTAGTTCAATATTAAAGAACATACATGGTGTTAAAATAGATATATCTACATCATTTAGTATTTTTTATTGAAATATTTTACGCCAAATTATAACAGTGGACACTTCGGACTATCTTGTAGACAATCTTATATAAAGTTATTTTTAATATTAAATACTACAAAATAACAAAAATGGGGATTTCCATAAAAAAAGAATTTTGACAGTTTTCTCAATCTCATTTTAAACTTTATTTTTACACACCCTGTATGATTATTTGTCCAAATATAAAAAATCTATTGAACTAGATTCTTTTTAACAAGGAATTCAACCTAAATTAACCAATATGACCTCTAGTTCTCTCATTTTTTCTTAATCTACTTTGGACCACTTTAAGATATGGACAATATTTGGAAATAAAAAAATATTATTTTTGAAATCGGTAAGATACGCAACTTTCTGTAAATCCCCAAACACATACAAATACGTCAAAATTAACAGTCGGGCATTTACAAAAGTTCAAGCATATACAGTGTGTCCACTTAAGTTCGCAGGATATGGGAAACTTTTCTATTATTAGCTTTACGAAAAAAAATTTTTTCTTCATAAAAAGTTCTACATGGTCTGAAAACTAAAATGCAACTGTCAGATATCAAATTTTTACAATACTATACGAGATATATCAAATAATATGAATTTAGCTGTAAAATGAAGTACCTTCATTTTTGACAAATCTCGTATACGACTAATAAAATTTGATATTTGATGGTTGCATTTTAGGTTTTGGACCATGCTCGACTTTTTATAAAAAATAACTTTTTTTCCTAAAATTAGTAATAAAAAAGCTTTTCGCATACAGTAAGACGAATGATTCTTACAAAACAAAAAGCACCGTTATAAATCACATAAAATGTTTTTAAATACGCAATGTTGCCATATTCACTGGCTCATGATGATACGGAATTACTTTCAATACGTATATATAATTATATACCGCAAATATCTACCTAAGCGCCGCAAACGTCAAACTGGTGAACTACATATTGGAGTTTCGTACATTCCTGAACCAATAAAAAAGGGGGAATATCTGGCAATGTGTTAGGCGCGAAGATTTGAAAACATAATTTGCAGATACCTTTAATATGGAGCTATCACGATCAAGTTTCAATTTAAGGATAGAGTGGGTATTAAATAATTTAACACAGCAAAACAAACCTGAACCAATATACTGGTTCAGGTTTGTGATGGTGGTTCAAGATTGTTAACCCAAGTTACTACTTCTGGTTCAGGTTTGGATGGTTACCGTAAATATATATATATATATATAATCGTATATATATATATATATATATATATATAATCGTATATATATATATATATATATATATATATATATATATATATATATATATATATATATATATATTTACGGTAACCATCCAAACCTGAACCAGAAGTAGTAACTTGGGTTAACAATCTTGAACCACCATCACAAACCTGAACCAGTATATTGGTTCAGGTTTGTTTTGCTGTGTTAAATTATTTAATACCCACTCTATCCTTAAATTGAAACTTGATCGTGATAGCTCCATATTAAAGGTATCTGCAAATTATGTTTTCAAATCTTCGCGCCTAACACATTGCCAGATATTCCCCCTTTTTTATTGGTTCAGGAATGTACGAAACTCCAATATGTAGTTCACCAGTTTGACGTTTGCGGCGCTTAGGTAGATATTTGCGGTATATAATTATATATACGTATTGAAAGTAATTCCGTATCATCATGAGCCAGTGAATATGGCAACATTGCGTATTTAAAAACATTTTATGTGATTTATAACGGTGCTTTTTGTTTTGTAAGAATCATTCGTCTTACTGTATGCGAAAAGCTTTTTTATTACTAATTTTAGGAAAAAAAGTTATTTTTTATAAAAAGTCGAGCATGGTCCAAAACCTAAAATGCAACCATCAAATATCAAATTTTATCAGTCGTATACGAGATTTGTCAAAAATGAAGGTACTTCATTTTACAGCTAAATTCATATTATTTGATATATCTCGTATAGTATTGTAAAAATTTGATATCTGACAGTTGCATTTTAGTTTTCAGACCATGTAGAACTTTTTATGAAGAAAAAATTTTTTTTCGTAAAGCTAATAATAGAAAAGTTTCCGATATCCTGCGAACTTAAGTGGACACACTGTATATGCTTGAACTTTTGTAAATGCCCGACTGTTAATTTCGACGTATTTGTATGTGTTTGGGGATTTACCCGCCGCTGACTTGACATCAAAAATCAGAAAGTTGCGTATCTTACCGATTTCAAAAATAATATTTTTTTATTTCCAAATATTGTCCATATCTTAAAGTGGTCCAAAGTAGATTAAGAAAAAATGAGAGAACTAGAGGTCATATTGGTTAATTTAGGTTGAATTCCTTGTTAAAAAGAATCTAGTTCAATAGATTTTTTATATTTGGACAACTAATCATACAGGGTGTGTAAAAATAAAGTTTAAAATGAGATTGAGAAAACTGTCAAAATTCTTTTTTTATGGAAATCCCCATTTTTGTTATTTTGTAGTATTTAATATTAAAAATAACTTTATATAAGATTGTCTACAAGATAGTCCGAAGTGTCCACTGTTATAATTTGGCGTAAAATATTTCAATAAAAAATACTAAATGATGTAGATATATCTATTTTAACACCATGTATGTTCTTTAATATTGAACTAAGGTAAATTGTGTTATATCGCAATACTTTTATAGAGTTGCTATGTATCCCATTATTAACGGACAACCCTGTAGATAACTTTATACAAGGTTACCTTTATTTTAGATGCTAAATACTACAAAATAAGAAAAATGAGTGATTCCATTTGAAAAATCGATTTTTGGTAGTTTTCTTAATCTCATTTTAAACCTTAAACCCAAGGAATCCAACCCGAAGTAAGTAATAAGCTGGGCTTCCTTACAGGACTTATTGATAATTATATTAGAACTTGCCAACGTCATTTTTGATATAAAAACTGAAATTTTAAAATCGCTTTGACTTAGGCATATGATATGATACATAAAACCTGTCGGGAATCTGAAGTAGAATTCAAAATTGTAATAATAATAGAATGCCCTATTTAAAATAAGTGACTTAAGGTCTATTTCCGGTCAACCGGAATTGCTTAATAGGCCCCAAGACATCTAACAAGTTTCCAGATATCAATTTTTTCCTACATCCAGTTTCTGAGATATCGACTGATGCAGTTCTTGGTGATCCACCCTGTATACTCTAGACAAGAGTACAAAATAAAATGTTTTCCTACGACCACTTAGGAAAGTGACACATATCACACTATATAGTCCTATGGAAAGTGCCCTATATCACACGCGTATGAATAAGAATTTACTTTCCACCCGAGTGAGAATATGTTACTTTCCGCAGTAGTTGTCACAAAATGTCAAACAGCTAATTTCCATTTTGATCTATGTAATATCCATATTAATACTAAAATCGATATGATTGTTAAATTATTGAAATTGTTGTAAATTAGATCCTAGATATTTATCTTTAACAATTATTATTAAAATAATTTTAAAATAATGTTTGCTCTTTATTCTGGTTGAATACATAATCGATTAGATCATTCAATTGACACAAGGGCTATTAGCTCAGGTGGTTAGGACGTCGAACTTATCAACTTTGCCATTTTTCGACCGCGTTCAATCGATGGTTCAAATCCTGGCGTGGCAGAATTTTTGTTTGTTTTTTTTTTGTTTTTTTTTTGTTTTTTTTTCTAGTTTTTTTTTTATTTAAAAAATATGAAAATTGAATAAAAACGATTATTATTGTTGATTATTTTTTTAAATACATTTTAATTATTATAGTAATAATAACCTTGGTTTTACATTTTTTTGATGATATTATTTTGTGGTCGTAGGAAAAATATTGTACATCACTTGTGTGAAAAGTGATTTTCCACACTCGTGTGATAGTCGCACTCGGCTTGCGCCTCGTGCGACAATATTTCCCACTCGTGTGAAAAATGTCACTTTCCACACTCGTAATGTAATATACTATTTCATTAGGTTATACTTTTCTAAATATATCATCTTTAGTTCATGAGATATAACCATTGTAAGTTTTTAAATTGTCAGCCATATGTGGTATGATTCCAATGAAAATTTTGAATATCAGAATAAACCGCAAACAAACATTTTGAGATTATTTTATACCGAGTGTTCACTTTTTGCATATTTAGTCGATATTTTAAGATTAAAAATGGACTTTCATAAAAGCTGTAGTGCAGAACATGTACACTGGTAAATTACAGAAGCCAGCTTCCTAAAGAAAAAAGAAATTTAATAAAGACAGATGCTAGAAGTTTAAATATTTTTTTTATACATATATTATTATAAGTATATTTTTACTAGTATAATAGTAAGTAAGTAGTGTTTTACTGAGCTACCTGTTTTTCCGTTGTTTTTATTTTTTTTTATTTTTTAACTAATAAAACAATATTAGTAGCTATTGAATTTATTGCTTATTATCTTTTAAATTTTGGGTAAATCACAATCAACGACTAAACAATTTCCATGACTCCATTCACCTCAAGAGGTGAACATTTTTTTGAGAACAGTTTTTTGTTTCTGGAAATTATGCGTCTAAATTTTACGAATCAAAATACTCCTTAAAATTACGGGAGGATTTTGTAGAGTGAAATTTGCATAATTTGTAAGGAAACAACAAAATGTTTTTAAAAAAAAATTCTTACCTCGCGTGGTGTTTGAAAAGATTATTTAACAATATAAACAGAACTTTCATAAACATTTGCTTTGGTTTCATAAGCTGAAGTCGATTCTGTATTTAAAATATATTTAAAGAATCAAAACGAATTTTGTATATTTTTCGTCATCTTTTTGACAAACTTCATATTGGCTTTTCATATAAATCACTGATACATTACTCTGGAAATGAATAAAAATTTTTAAATCCAACCTTTTTGACAAACGTCACATTGACTTTTCGCACAAATCATTAATGCGGACTCTGGTAATGAATTGAATTTTTTAATTACAATCAGGATTGAGTAAAAACACTCCAGCATGCAGATACAGTTTGTGCTGATTGGCGTCTGTTGGAATTAAAGATGATTGTCATTGGTTAATGCATTATAGCGTTAAATAATCTTATTAATACCTACATACAATTAAAAATATTTAAGGAATTTATTAAGCAAGTTTTTACTAAACTAGCAATGGCGCTTATTCCTAACAGAAAATGAGACAATTTTAATAAAACGTTAAATTATTTTCAAAATAAAATACTGTACATTTTTCTTCTGACTAATGAGAAATACGAATTTGTTGCTACGTAGGTATATATAACACGATTAATAAAACTTTAATATATGTATTTTTTTATAATTTTTATTAAGTTAAAAAATTTAAGTAAGTATATTATCTACGTGGCCAAGAAATAATTATTGTTGAGGGCTATTCAAGTCAAGATATGTTACAGAGGAGATAAAAACCTTATTTTTGACATATTTACAATACACCTGATTTACAACGTTCTTGTATAAAAATATTACCCCCACCGTCCCCTAGAGGGAGATTGAGGGGGTAGCATCCACAGTAAATTAAGTTGTCTTTTTAAATAAAAAAGTTGGAATCTACGACTTTTTCCATATACATAGACCCACCAAAATTTATATTTTTTTTTTTGGAAAAAACTTGTTTTTCTGTGACGAGAAAAAAGTTTGACATTATATCTCTCTTGTCAGGTAACAAAATGTCACTTTTTATGAAATTACTTTTTTCCATGTTTCCTGGGAGAAAAGCGTTTCCCCGGAAAGTAAAGGTAGATATTTTTTTCTACATTAAATCGTTGTTTTCCCATCACAGAAAAGAAATGGTGTATTATACACGGGAAAAATATTAGATTTTAGCTAATATTTTTTCCCCTTGTATAATAAATAAATATTTCTTGTCTTTGGACTTTTTTGACCTGAACTGATATAGTTTGAATGTGGGGATTCGCTTTTACAAATCGTCATAGAGGAGATAAAACTATTATTTTTGGTACATTTGTAATAGACATAATTTTCAACTATTTTTTATAAAAATGTACCCCTACCATTTTGACTAAATTTTGGAATTTTGGATGTATATGTAGAAAATCTAGATTCAAACTGTTTTATTTAAAAAAATTTAACCTAATATTTTGGGAGTTCCACCCCCATTCTCCCTCTATGGGATGGTGGGGGTAAAATTTTTATACAAAAGCGTTATAAATCTGGTTTATTGAAAAATGTCAAAACTTAATTTTTATCTTATCTGTTAATTTTTTTTAATTGCAAAGATAAGTAAAAATCGTAGATTTTAAGTGTTTTATTTAAAACGTTTTTTTATCGAATTTCCTATTTATGAGAAAATACATTCATATATCTAGTATTCTCTCAATATCTCGACTCGAACTGCCCTAGCCACAAGAGTGATTTTAATGTATTTGCATAGTCCGACTGAAATGATTTTAAATTTGAATTCAGAGTATAGAGTTAAATAAACAGTTGTATTTTATAATTATTCTCGTATTACTAAATCGTAGATTTCATACTTAATTTACATTTGGCAACTGAGCGAAGGTTCAGAATTGTGCGATTAGTGTGAACAAAACTGTATAAAATGGTTCAAGATTGTATCAATCTTCTAATGGTTCAGGATTGCACAGATCCAGTAAAATCTTTAGAAAAATTACATTTTTTTAATGAAATATTCAGAGTATACATTTCACATTACAGATAAGGAGACCCTCTTATTCCAATATACATTAAATATACTTATATCCAACTTTATTATTTTTGGGTGGTTCAGGTTTGATAGAATCTCCAATTGGCTTGGGATTGATAGAAAGATGTAAATATATATATATATATATATATATATATATATATATATATATATATATATATATATATACAGGATGGCTCACGCTCAACGGGACAGAGCTTTATGGGAAAACGACCAAAGATATAAAAAATTCGTTTGGGAGGAATACGTAGGTTACAGATGGCTACAATTTAAAATTTGTTAGATGTATACAGGATGTCCCACATAAGAGAAAATATACCAAGTTATATTATTTTTAATGGAACACCCTGTTTTTTATTTTAGAATTAAAAACTACATCAAAAATAATGTCAGTTAACTAAAGGTTCCCTATTACTATTATTATTAGTTTTCGATTTATTTGAATTTTTAAGGAAAAAAAGTCTCTCAGAAATTAATTGTTTACTCTTGTTTGAATAATTTTTAATAAACTAATTTTTTTTTCTTATGTGGGACATCCTGTATACATCTAACAAATTTTAAATTGTAGCCGTCTGTAACCTACGTATTCCTCCCAAACGAATTTTTTATATCTTTGGTCGTTTTCCCATAAAGCTCCGTCCCGTTGAGCGTGAGCCACCCTATATATTAACTTCACCACGCTTCATATTTTCTATATTTTGTCTTTCAGATATATTAACAATAACATTGCCATTAACAAACAAAAAATTTGGATAAAGTAACTGCAGAGAATTTAATTCAAAACATTTTAAAATTATTAAATAAACATCGATACGATGAAAATGTCTACAAAGAAATCTTTAAAGAAATATCAAACTTATGTGAAGAACTAGATATAGACCTTACAGTACTACGGCAAGCTAGTAGTCAAACCTTGAAGACAAACATAAAAAATAATAACCCTAAAATATCTATTTATATTCCATTATTAGATAATATTATCGAAGACTTAATGATAGATTCAGCAAATATATTTTAAATGTGTTTGATTATAACACCATTTTTTCCGTTAATTTGATTGGCAAGACATCACAGGATTTAAAAATTATTATACAGTCTCTCATTAAGGCAATGTGATGTTTTCTTTGTGTTACAGCTGTACAGAAGTTAAAAGTAGAAATTGAATTATGGCAGAGTTCAACAATTTTGTCAGAAATAAAGATTCTGATACAGCTATTATTGCTCTTTTCATTTTAAATGCAATCATGATATCTATCTGACTATTAAATTAATTTTGAAAGTTTTATGTACTATGCCAGTAAGTGTTGCTACCGCAGAAAGAAGCTTTTCGACATTGCGTCGTTTAAAAAATTGGCTGCAGTCACGAATGGGACAAGAAAGATTAAATTAATTAGCTCTTTTGCATATCCATCGGGATTTTGATCTTGACGTCGAAAAAATTATAGACAGATTTGCTAACGCATACCAAAGAAAATGGAAAATGTGATTTTACGATTAAGTAATCAAGATAAACCTATTTGTGATTTTTACGAGTGATATTTATGTTTTATAAGAGGTTTTTGATTTTGTTTAAAATCTCTTATTTTTTGTTATTTATTAAATAAACTAATGATTCTTTGATAAAATTATCTACCCCCCCCCTCCCGAAAAATCTTGCCAGATCCGCGCCTGCTTTGGCTGGTGAATTTACAGGAAGCAAAACACCCACAACGTACGTCAGCCTTTTGAAAAAAACATAATATAAAGATTCCTTCTTTAATAAAAATTAAAACTCAATATTATCCCATTAAACATTTTATTGGAAGAAATTTCTTTTAGATTATCATGCAGTAATTTTCCATTTTCTTACAAAAAGTAAAATCACATAATATTAAATCTTTACAAAAAATATGATAATTTAAATCAAATTTTCTAGAGCGTACATTTTTTCTTTTAAATAATTACCAGTAAAGGTTCTCAGTTCATCATCGCGCCAGAATATCATATTTATTTGGTCATTGATCTTCTAAAAAACGAAAAATTAATTAGGTTGAAAGTTTAAGTTTTAATATAAGAAGGGTACTGATAATAAGATACTTGGAATATATTGTGGCTATTGCTTATACTTTTTGGTTTATCACAACCACATCTTCCAATGAAGTCGAAAACTGTATTTTTAGATCGATTTTAGCCGCCTGGGATGTATAACCAGGTACTAAGGAACTGTGAGAAAACAGCCATGGCGGTGAAGTATGTATCGGGCGAAGTATGAATGACTTTTGGTTATAAAGTAGTAAGGAAACGTGTTGGTCAGATGAAGATCGTATTAAATAAGAAAAAAAAAGTCTCAGAATTCAAGAATGTAGTGGGATTGGGACGCTCAAGGAAGCAAAAAGGGTTATTAAATGTATAAGAAGCTATGAAGAAAAGCAGTGGAAAAGAAAATTTATAGGATGGAAGTCGTTGTTAAATTTAAAACATGCGTTATTGATTTGAACAAAGTGTTCAAACCGATCATCTTCCATAATAATTTGTGTATTGTCCGTATATGGGATCTGATGGGGAATGATACAAAATTTATTGTTACTCCCATCCCATAGTATATGTGAGAGGAGTTGATCTCTTGTTATCAGTTATTACTACTTGTATTTTGATTGATAAATAAGATTTAATCCAGTCATAAGTGCAATTTTCATATTTAAAAACTTTGGTGTTTTTTGTTAAACAGTGAAGTCTACCGTTTTCGAAAAAATACATTTAATTATTTCGAGTTCTTATAAATATAACCAAATTGTTTACCTTCTATTTACAACGTTACCAAATAAAACAATAAAATCTTACTTCTTCAATTTTAGCATCATTGGCTTCTTTAATTTCTTGCCATACACCTCGTATGATTTCAGGTATTATGGTACAAAATCCTTTATTAAATAGATCCCCCACGTCTGTACCGTCCATTAAATTGTTAAAATGAATCTAAAAAATATCTAAATATTAGTTTACCTGTGTATGTCGCGTAACAACCAAGATTTTAAAGCTTTAATAAATAAATAATCCAGTACCTTAGAGACAACAGAAGTTAGTTAAGTCACAAAATTTTATATGGAGCTATTTTTGATCCACTCTATAGATACCACTAATATTCTCGCACCGAAATAAAATAATTTAAAATATACTTAATGATATACTAAGTATACCTACCTACTAAGTTTGACGAACTAACCTGAATTTTTTGTAGATCCACATCAATGCTAACAGGTACACAAAAATCTGTTGTATTTAGGTCTAAAGGAAGGATACTGAATGATACTGAAAAATCATACAGATAGCACCTAAAACAATAAAAAAAATTTACTCTGTCAGGACAGGTTCTTTTATTTTATTATAAAAATATAGGACAGGTTCTCCTATTATTTGATTATAAAATTATATGATACTTTAAATTAAAAATAACAAACAGAGAACGTTAAGCGATCTCTAAAATACAACTATTCCTCTGGCTACACTACTCTAAGAAAATAACGCATCACGCCGTGTGGGAACATGTGGTAGGTTGTATTTCCTATCAGGGTCACCATTGTGGAAACATGTGAAACCGTATCATAAATAAAAGGTTCTAAAATATATAATTGAAGAGAAAGAACAAGACGTGTATATCAAAAACAAAAATTCCTATTAATATTTTTACGCAGCACCCTGCAGTAGCCTGCGGCTATTATAAGAAACGTACGGATAGAAAAAGAAGTGGAATGTTACTCATCGCCCTGCAGTGTGCTGCGGTCGTCATAAGTAAAAGTACAAGTAAAAGAAGATAGAATAGTCGAGAAATGTCTGGAAATGTCATTACCCGTCAAGAATATTTTACACGACAAGCTATATAAGGATGATACTTCAGGCCCACCAGCATGGTTTTTGAAGATGGAAGAGCAGAGAGTAAGGCGAGAAGAGGAAAAGCAAAGGCGTAGAAAGGAAGGAGAGGAGGAGAGAGTAAGGCGAGAAGAGGAAAAGGAAAGGCATAGAAAGGAAGTAGAGGAGGAAAAGGAAAGGCATAGGAAGAAAGACGAGAAGGAAAAAAAAGCGTAGGAAGGAAGACGTGGAGGAAAAGGAAAAGCGTAGGAAGAAAGGAGAGGAGGAAAAGGAAAGGCGTAGGAAAGAAGAAGAGGAGGAAAAGGGAAGGCGTAGGAAGGAAGAAGAAGAACAAAGGTAAGACGTAGGAAGGAAGAAGGGGAGGAAAAGAAAAGGCGTAGGAAGAAAGAAAAGGAGAAAAAGGAAAGGCACAGGAAGGACGAAGAAGACGAGAAGGAGGAGAAGCGTAGAAAGGAAGCGATTGAAATTATGAACAGTTTGCTACAAATCCAGAACACCTTCAAGCAAGAGGTTGGTCGGCTTAACAATAGAGTATATCTTTTGGCACAACAAGATATTTTCAAAACTAATGTAGAAAAACAGCGAGAGCATCTAACTCATTTAGATCAGCAGCAACAACATTTAAAAACCGATTTAGAACAACAACATGAAAAGACAAGAGTAAAGTTGGAAAGGCAAATTAGAACTGAACTAGTTGAATTAGAAAGACAAATTCGTAGCCTAGCTTTGGCAAGCAACAGAGAAACTGCAAACGCTACCTCGTCCTCAGCTATAACCGAACCAAACCACATCCAAAACCCAGTTTCCCAAAGCCATACTAGCAAGACCATTAAGCCACCCACGTTTGACGGTCAAACACCATGGAAAACGTATCGACTCCAATTTGAAGCTGCAGCTAGAACCAACGGCTGGACCAAGAAAGAGATGGCGGCTCCATTGATAGTGTCGCTGCGAGACAAGCAGCAACCGTTTTACAGTTACTTCCCCAAGAAGAACCCAGTTATTTATCTCTCATCCAAGCTTTGGAGACAGGATATGGCCAGCGGCATTTGCAACGGGTATTCCAAAGCCAGCTAAAGGTTCGTAATCAGAGTATAGAGGAATTCGAGGCCGACGTAAGAAGATTGATTCATCTGGCCTATCCACAGGTATCGAAAGATTTCTAAGAACAATTCTATAAATCGAGAATCAGCGAATGAGACCGGAAAATCATATAGATCAATCTTTGCAGCAGCTATGCGTCCCGAAGAAGCCAATCACCCACACTGAGCCAACTTTTTAACAATAACCAGAAAGTGGAGCATCAAAAAGGTCTTCATGGCAACGCAGACATTCTCTTCGGGCAACCTCGTTTAGAGGAACAGTGCTGGTATGGTAAAAGGCTCGAAGCACGAGAAGAACCGGTTGATAGAGGTACTCTTCGGGCAACCACTATCACGACAGATGGCGACGAAGAAGAAATCACCCTTGAAAGTCTGAGACAGGGACAGAAGGAAAACAATGACAAAGGTTATCCAAGAATGACTCAAAAATAAAGTCTCACCTTCTTGACAAGAGATAGCCAAATACAGTAGAACTATAAAAGACTACTGGACCCAGTAGGATTCTTTCTATCTTCACGATGGCCTATTCCACCGAAAGGGGAGAGTTCCGATGGAGTACATGTAGTCCGTCATGTGCTACTGCCGAAGTCACAGGTGAGAAATGTATTGGAGGAGCTTCATATCAGCCATTCAGGAGGACACTTTGATACTAAAAAGGCACTGGCACGAGTGCGGGAAAAATTTTATTGGGTCAATTGCCGACGGGATCTAGCAAATTGGTGTAAAAAATGTGATGTATGAAATGGCAGGACAAAGGTCTATAGATTCGCTCGGGAACGACTGAAATCCCACACCAATAAAGCAGAAACTAGAATCGACAGGCGTACCACAGATACACATTTTGTTAGGGGCGACCAGGTATGGCTGTGCAATCCCAAGAAGCGAGGAGGACTTTGTCAGAAATCGCATACCATGTGCCAGATCCTCCCCGTTGGCTCCAACCAGTAATCAAATTATTTGGAGCGAATAACTAGAGAGGAGGGAGCAATGTTACGCAGCACCCTGCAGTAGCCTGCGGCTATTTTAGGAAACGTACAGATAGAAAAAGAAGTGGAATGTTACTCATCTCCCTACAGTGTACTGCGGTCGTCATAAGTAAAAGTACAAGTAAAAGAAGAGTTCGAGAAGGTTCGAGAAAAGTCAAGCAAGCTATATAAGGATGATCCTGACGTCAGTTATCAGTTTTGTGATAGACGTTATACGTTAATGTTATCAGTTGCATTGTTATTGTAAAAGTTGAGTTGAAATAAATTGTGATACCAAAAACCTGCGTAACAATATTAAATAAACAAACATATCATAAACAAACATTTCTTAAACAAACATATCTTAAACAAACATATCTTAAACAAACATATCTTAAACAAACATATCTTAAACAAACATATCTTAAACAAACATATCTTAAACAAACATATCTTAAACAAACATATCTTAAACAAACATATCTTAAAGAAACATATCTTAAGGCGGGTACAGATCTGAGCACGTACGCGTATGAGGCAAGCCGAGGACACGTGAGCATACAGATGTGGACGAGCTTCCGAGGCGCGGCAAATTGCGCAGTGCGGCCTCGCCCCGATCCGTTTGTTGGCGGTACATCAAAGGGAGTCAATGCGCAGTACGTGCTCAGTCTGGACGGGTAATGTGTATCGAATAGATTATAGCGAGTTTTCAAGGTTATAACCAGCGAGATACTTTATGGAGAGCAAGACAAAATAATAAAACAGACTCTCAACTACCAGACCTTTATTTTTGTTTTAATTATACGAGTGTTCTGGGTGTACGGTTCCGTGTTCGCGAATTCCCTGGATCACTAGCGAACAGTGCCTCGTGCGTCTACCATTCGTATGTTAAAAAGCGCCGCACGAGGCAATAGGTTCGGCCTCGGCTTGCCTCATACGCATACGTGCTCAGATCTGTACCCGCCTTTAAAAAAACATCTTAAACACACAAATAATAATTCCTTTCAACCATACAAGACATCTAGAACTGATGGTATAATCCCGGTCCTGCTTTAAAAGGACCAGGAAGTAATGGAGGGACCACTGTGTAAACTATTCCGAACTAGAATAGCCCTCGGATATGTTCGACAAAGCTTGAGGTCTGCAAGAGTTGTCCTCATTCCCAAACGTGATAAAGCGTCTTACGCGGAGACCAAATCTTTGAAACCAATCAACCTAACATCATTTCTCCTAAAAACCTTGGAGAAATTGTTTGATAGATATATACCAGATGATGATCTACGAGATAACCCAATACATCGATACCAGTTTGCCTACCTATCTGGAAAGTCTTGCGAGGTAACCATACACAGGTCAACTCAAAAGGCCGACCAAACATTGGAAAGCAAAGAAATAATACTAGGAGTTTTCCTAGGGATCTATGCATAGGCGTGGCATAGCACACTGCATTACGCAGTGGGTTGAGTTCATGCTTAATCATAGAACCATTACCAGTGATCTCTTTAACACAACAAGAGATGTCTCAGTTAACAAGGACGCCCGCAAGGAGGAGTCTTATCTTCACTCATGTAGACCTTTGGTGGTGTATGACCTCTTAAGGGGTTAGAGAGAAAAAAACATCGTAGTAAACGGTAAATAAATTTGGGCCTGTTGTTTTCGAAAGGATGCAGCAGGCTCTAAATATCGTCGAAAGATGGTGCCTAAAAGAGGAATTGTTTACAAATCCGACGAAAACCTTTGTTTGCATTTATAATAAAAAGAAACCTTCACGGAATGAAGGAGCTTTATATGTGGGAACAATGTCCAAAAAAAGGCAAAGGATGTCAAATATCTAGAAATCACTCTTACGCTTAGCTTCTGCAGCCATATAAAAAATAAACAGAAAAAATGTAAGAATAATGTGGCTTTGTAGACAGATGGTAAGGAGGACATGGAGGTATACACCAAGTATAATGAACTGGATTTATACCAAGATTGTAAATAGTACCAGTTATAATAAGTCAGATGGTGGTACAAGGCTAAAAGCATAACAGCTAGCAGAAAATTAGATAAGGTACAAATACTGGCCTCTCTAATAATAACAGGGGCATTCAGAACTAAGCATACTGCAGCAATGCAGCTACTGATAGGTCTTCCTCCATTACACCTTGTGGTGGAGGAGGCAATGTGGGAGGTATACAAGTTGTTCACTAATGAATTTGGATGGAAGCTTCTGAGAAAAGGACACCATATATTGATATTAGAGAAATTAAAACAAAATCCCGTCGGTTAGAACACCTATTATTCATAACATTACTTTACTCTTGCATAAAATTCATATTTTTCGACAAACCTCGTACATGACTAAAAATATTGGAAAACGTTTTATGAAGAATATTTTTTTATAAAATAAAAAAGTTTCTCATTCTGTATACAGATGTATATATCTTGGTCACATTTAAGTTTGGAAATATTTTTCATATGACACTTTACACACGTTTTCTTAGTGTAGCAGAAGATCATATCGTTTATAGTAGTGTGAATAACTTGTTTACACAGAAAATATATATTGGAAGGAGAAACTATAGGTACTTGAGAACTTATAATCACTTTCAAGAATATTTTTGATAAACACATTGAATATTTTGAAATAATAACATTTATCGCCAACCGTCAATAAAGCCATACATTACCATAGCGAGTTGTGAACAAACACTTTATCTTACTGTAAAAATCAAATATTTTATCTACCGCTAATATTTATCAACATAGCCATGGCCGTCTGACAGAAATAGTCTGTAACTGATTTGTTTTGTATTCGATGTTATTTTTATGTTTACGTTGTCATACTAAAATGTAATGTTATAATATCTCCTTTTTTATTAATTATAATTATTTACGGTTGCTGATAAAAGTTTGTATTGACTACGTCAGCAAAGTGTCTTTATCGAACTCGCCTCTTACTCGCCTCGCTCGCTTCTCTCGCTCGGCTCATAATCTCAGACTAGTTCGATAAAGAAACACTTTGCTGACTTGGTACATAAATAACTATTATTTGATTTTTTACCAAAAATCACCTTCTCCCCAAATATCAAATAGATCACCAATCCTTCCTTTCATTGAATAATAATCTCCTACTAGAGATATATTTGGAAAAGTCAAATTGATGAATTGGCCATTTTGCAAATATGTTGATGTCGTGTAAGTCATATTCCATATACTTATGTTTTTAAAATCACCATCCAACCTAAGATAAAAAATTAAAGAACATCAGAATTATGCGAGTTATATCTATAAACATGGACGAAAATGAATGAGATAATGTTTAAAATATTCGTTATTCTTTTCAATAGTTTTTTTAGAACGAAAAGGAAAAAACTATTACAGATGTCTTTGTTGATATGACAACAAAAGAATTATGTCAATTTAATTACTTTTAATTAATTATTTAATTACGATTAGTACCTAAATTATTTCCGAATTTTTTCAAAATTTTAATATATACTTGACAGACATGAAATAAAATGGCTAAAATCAAAGTTGCAAAGTAGGCCATGCCAGTTATGCGTATTAGTCATATTTGAAGTCGTTTAGTCGACGCGAAAACCCCTTATTATTTTACTTAAAATAAATGTAGTGTATTTCTATCTATTATTGCTATTACATAAAATTTAAAAAATTGAAATGGCAACTTTCTTATTCACACCGTCGTCGTCGCGTCGCGTCGCTTCGCAATATCGTAATATCATCATGTGCAAAAAAATTTCTAGTTGTAGGAAACGTTTTAAAATAACAGCATTTAATTGGCTATCAAATCGAGGTGTAATATTTTCTGCACGATAATGTAATACAATAATATACAGGGTGTCATATTTTAACAGCGTAATCTACATCCTAAAATAGAAGTAAAAATTCATATAAACATAGGTCCGAAAACGTTTCGTATTCGAGATACAGGGTGTTACAAGTAAAGTCCTGATGGCACATTTTGTAAATATTTACTAAAATTTCTTTAGTCACCGGTTTTCCAAAGTTAAAAAAAAATTAAATTTCTGATTCCACAGGCCTACTAATTATTGTTTACATTTTCGAATAAGATAACATCAACTTATCATGAAATTTTCAAATGCTTTTCTCTTGAAAATGGTACGTCTTAGCGAGATACACTAAAAGTAGCTTTATTATAAAGAAAATATTGGTGTTCCAAATTTTGTAGTCAAAAATGTAAAAAACAGTCAACAAAAAAACTTAGGACAATTTAACCCTAAGCCCCTCCCCTAATTTACCTACCTATGAAGATGATCAAAAACTGGCATTTAGTTCATTAAATAGAGCATAAAAAGTTTTGCATTTGTACCAAATTTCACTTATTTATCTTTAAAAGTAAGTTTGGAAAATAATTACAAAAATGTGTTATCAGGACTTCACTTTTAACTCCCTGTATCTCGGAGTGAAAACGTTTTCGGACCTATGTTTATATAAACTTTTACTCCTATTTTAGGATGTAGATTACGCTGTTAAAACATGACTGTCTAATTTCGGGATACCCTGTATATTTACTATACAATCCGTATTTTAATTTGAAAATAATCATCATTTGAAAAATACCAACCTGAGAGCTGAATGATTAAAAGAGAGGGGGAAATCCTTTACGAAAATGGGATCATTAGAATTTAGCAGATTGGTATCACCTAAAACAAAGATTTCATTTAGATATTATTTTTTATTTCTGTTTTCTATTTAAATTTCGTCCCTTGTTTTTATGAATTGTTTCGTATTATTTAGTACCTATCTCACTTACTTATACCTGATACTCTTTTCTTAACTCATTTTTTTAACGTGTCTGTCAATCTCAAAGTTTTGAGAAGACAAGAAATACTTTTAGGACAAAATAACATATTATGCAACGAGCATTTAATGATAGCTATTAAGACACGAGTATGAGAATACGAGTGTCTTAATAGCCATTAAATGTGAGTTGCATATACTATTTTTTCTAAGACCATTGAATTATAATAAAAAAAAATAAGTAATTTATTTACAAAATTTATTAAACTTATAGAGGAAGAACTAAATAAACATCAAAACTTTATCCCAAACAAACATAGAAAACAGATATTTAACATCTGGGTTTCCTGCAATAAATTACTTTATTTCATTTGTATTAAATGTTTTTGATTTTATTTTCAACAAGACATGTAATTTTGAATATTTAGATATATCCACTTGATAATTAATACATAAAGTCGATTTGAAAATTGAATAATGTGTCCATAAACTTGTCGGTAATTATCTTGATAAGTCATCAAAATAAACAATTATTACGTTTTCTAAAAATGTGTTTGCATTTTTCTTGTCCCTCCAATACATAAATTGACTATAAAATATTTCATATACTTTTGTGGATTTTGATGATAATAAATTATTTGTGGCTCTTGTGGCCTGTTCCACATTTTCTGGTGAAGTAAGATTATCTAGTTCATTATTGTACTATACATTTTTGCCGATTTATAATTTTCAGGATTTTTCCTACGGCTGCTTAGAATATACACAAAAACGCACTACCAACTTCCCTCGAAAAACATCAAATTTAAACAGCGTGTGAAAACGTTTTCACACGCAGTGTGAAAAGTAAAATAATCGAGATGAAATCTAGCATGCGGCTATTGTCACTACTGACAGTTCTCATTTAAATAAAGTCAAATTTATTGCAAACGACCCCGCACAAATCTTATGGAAATTGGGTCCCGGTCAAATTCGCTGAATTTTTCATCATACTGGTCAATTGTCTCAATGGCCACAAAGCTCAAAAATGGACAGTTTGGCCGGTACAGAGCTTTAAAGATCCGAGTATCCTCCACGGATTTATGTATATGCGCAGTGTGTATAGACTTTTGAAATAGCCTATTTCATTTTTTTTATTATCTAGGTTTCTATTTTTGAGGTTGCTGAATTCACATCTGTTGTTAGATTTTCAAAATTGACAGTTGGCAGCTGTCAAATAGCTGTCAATGTGCTATAATAAAGCCAAAAACTTGTTTTTTTATGTTTTATCTTTCTTTTTTTTTAGTTCGATAAGTTCAAAGATGATATCAAATCAATAACAATGACTATCGACAGCTGTCATTTAGCTGTCAACAATTCTTCAAAGTCCGGTAATAAAGTCAAAAAATTATTTTTTGTTTACAACTTCAAGTTTTTTAAATAAGTGAATATAATTATGATATAAAATTATGTAGTCAACAAGCTGTCAACTAACTGTCAAAATGCAATAATAGAGCAAGTAACTTATTTTTTGTGCTTAACTTTGTGGATAAGAAATCAAACATGATATAAGTTTATGACATCACTTTTGAACTCAGTGATCTAAGCAACTTAAAGTTTTTTTAAACTTTTAACATGAAACATGTTCATAATGAGTGGATACTTTGCGAAGGCCTCCACTTAGGAGGGGGTGAAAATTGTCAGTTTTAGGAGGGGGGGGGGGGTGAAAAGGGACTTAGAAGAATTTCGATTTAGGGACTTAAAATAATTTCGTTAAAGGGACTTAGGATAATTCGGCTTTAGGGACTTAGAATAATACTTTTTATTAAACTTGGTTATTGGTTATCCGTAAACATATGCTATGCCCGTCAATTGTGTTTACACAACTCGGTTTTGACAGTTAGTTGATTAGTTAGTTAGGTGACAGCTGTAAGCTAAGATTATCCTCGAATGTTGCCACATGCAAATAATAATATATAGGTAAAGGTCGGTTTATTATGTTATTAACTTGTTCATATTGAAAAATAGATTTACACTTTCTTTTTCATTAACCCTTTCCGGGGCACCGGTACATATTTGTACCGGCTAGATTGTTTGCTTGTTACCCCCGTATCTGCTACAATTCGGACATTGGATGGTTGACTATGGGTATTTCATGCCGCTAAGAGGTTCCTAAAATTAGTCCTAGTGATTTTTTTCACGTAATTGTTTATTGTTATTTAATTATAAACAATTGAAAGTGAAAAAACTGCTTTTTTTCGGAAAAAAATCGTCCACTCGAAATCTGGTACATTAGTTTATGATTTTAGTGCGTGTACCGATGTTTTGAAGATTGCTGATCACGATGCTGGTGGCCAAAAGTGCATGTCAAATCGGGTGCCACATGACTCAATATAATCCGAATGATCGAAAAAAACACATTTATTACACAATTTGGCACGTCTGACGACAAATTCCATATCAGAAGTCTATTTCGGCAATTTTTCAAAAGTCTATACACACTACGCATATACATAAATCCGTGGAGGATACTCGGAGCTTTAAAGCTCTGTACCTGCCAACCTATCCATTTTTGAGCTTTGTGGCCATTGAAACAATTGACCAGTATGATAAACTCTATCACATATCAAAAATTCAGCGAATTTGACCGGGACCCAATTTCCATAAGATTTGTGCGGGGTCCTTTAGAAAAAAAGCCGTGTTACACGATGATAGAAGATGAATTTAACTGCACTTCTCCAGAAATACTTGAAAGAGCCTCTCAAATCACGCAAAATCTTCTACCGTTAATTTCAAAAGAAAGATATGAAAGTTGTTATGAAACATTTGTAAAATGGAAGAATGAACGAAACCTAAAATCGTTATCAGAGAATGTTCTGCTTGTTTATTTTGAAGAATTAGCGCAAAAATATAAATCTATAAACCTCAAACACAGTATTAATATTTCGAAATATCATAAGTTACTAGCTTATTTGAAGAGGCAAGCAGAAAATTATGTGCCAAAGAAATCAAGAACTCTAACATCCCAAGATTTTGATAAATTTCTGAATACGGCTCCAGATAACATGTATTTATTAACTAAGGTAAGTTTTAAAATTATTAAGAGTATAAAAATATCTAATCAAGTTTTTTAATTATTAGACCGTAGTTGCTGTTGGCTTAGCCGGAGCTTGTAGGCGAGAGGAATTGTGCCAGATGAAAATCGATGATATGCAAGATCTAAAGTCCGCTTTCATAGTTAAAATCAGACATACTAAAAATAAGATACCTCGATCTTTTACTATAACAGGAATATTTTATGATATTTGCAGAGAATATGCTAGTCTGCGGCCTCCTAATATTACAGAAAAGAGATTTTTCTTAAATTACAAAAATGGAAAATACACGAAACAGGTAGTAGGAATTAATAAAATCGGAAGTATGGCTAAAGAAATAGCAACTTTTTTAAAACTACCAAACCCCCAGAAATATACTGGCCATTGTTTACATCGATCATCGGCTACAATGTTAGTTAATGCAGGTGGCGATTTGTTAACCCTCAAACGCCATGGAGGATGGCGTTCTAGCTCTGTCGCTGAGGGATACATGGACGATTTCGTACAGAATAAAATTGAAATTTCCAAAAAAATTGTCGGATCAGTAAATCCTTCTGATCATAATTTAGAAGAAAGCACATTAGATAACCAGCTACATCCTTTTGATCCTCAGTATTCTGAGCCATCTTGTTTAAACGAAAAAAACATAACTATAACTGAAAATGTGTTGAAAGGGCAGGACTATCCTACAATAAATTTTAAACAGTAAATTTCAGTTTCAAATAAAATAGCAGGGAAGACTATTAATAAACGATTTATAGTATATTATTCAATAATTGTATATTGTTGACCATATTACACGAGTGTTGTAAATATTCGAGTGTAGTATGGTCCATTATACACGAATTAAAAACTATACTTTATCTACAACTGAATACGGGGGCTCACCGAAAACGAAAAGGGAATTTTTAGAAAAAATTCTTTGAAGTTGTTATAAATAGAATTGACAAGATTGTTCACAATTAAAAGACCTTTCAAATGAGGAGTATTTAAGCCACCGTGTGAAATAAAACGCCAATTTATACAGGAACTCGTTTAAAATTATTTATTGATGTAATTAATAGTAACATTACAATTTGAAATATTAATAGCTCCGGTAATATCATTGAGATTATTGTTTTTTAAAGAAAAATTAGTGTTGCTATTGATGAGTACAAAATCATGACGATCACTGTCAGAAGATGATGGATTATTAATTGGCGATGTACCCTTCTGCTGTGGAGGCGGATTTCCAGCCTCCATGACGTTTTAATGTTGTCATTGAAGCTACAGAATCAGCAACCAATGTTGCAGATGAACGCCTGAGGCAATGGCCAGTATATCTCTCAGGGTTTGGTAATTGTAAAAACGTAGCAATTTGCTTTCCCATTGCGCTAAACTTGTTTATTCCTATCACTTGTTCTGTACACTTTCCTTTTTGGAAATTGAGAAAAAAATGTTGTGGTGCATTTTCGGGCCGGAGGTCTATATATTTTTTAACGATTTTGAAAAAATTATCCACAATTGTGAAATTCCTTGGGACTTTGGTATTTGTGTGTGGCACGTTTACTTGAAAACATCCCTCAAAACATCTTAAATCCCCAATTTTCATATTCTTTAATTCACAGGATCGGCAAGCACCCATGACCCCCATAATCAAGGCAACCTTAAAAAAATGTGTAGATTAAGTTAAAGAATTTTGATTTTCGATTCGAGTTTTTACCTTTGTTCCAAGATATTTAAAATCTGGGACTTCCTTTATAAACCTCTCAATTTGTTCACCAGTCAGAGCTTCAGATTTCTTAGGTTCGTAATTTTCGGATCGTCTTTTCAACAAAGCACGTAATCTCGGA